AGAGCAATCTTTGAGTTCTTAAGATTTTCTAAAATACATAAATGTAACAACAATGAGAAAAATCTACATTTCTGACTTTCTCCAATGAACTTCTTTTATGAAGTAGAGGGATAAGAAATAGTTTAAATGAAACATCGCACAATAGCCAATAATTTTAAAAAATGTAAGAGATGATGGTGTACGGAAAAACATTTGAACTCAAAATACTTTTATATTTCTTTGTAAATCACAACTGCTTGATTTTGCTTTGATGTCAGCAGCGTCACAGTACTCTTTGCAGACACGGATTAGCCAACAAAGATCCTGCATGAGAGATTACAGTGCAGGGGTACGGTGTTGCAACTGCCAGTCAACACTGGTTTTTGAAATGAAATTATGAAATGAACAAATGCCTGAAAATAAAGATTGCTGGTCATAGAAAATTCTCATATATGCAGTGGGAAGTTTAATAACAAAATGAACACTGATTTGAACTGAAATCAACAGTGTGCTGTCATAATCTCTACGTATGGATCATCGTTGAAAAGCTGCACACAAACTTAACAAATGTACTGTCCATCTACATAAAGTTATAGACTATTTAAAGCAAAAATACAGGAATATAACCAATCAAAATAAAAAAGCATACTGTGATAGGTAGATGGAGGAGTAAATTATGTGTATCATCTTCACAGCCATAGAAAAACAGATTACAGTTTTATGACTGAACTAGCTGAAGTGAGAAAATAGATGGAAACAAGTGACTGACAGGCAAGGAAGCTAATTAACCAGGCTTTTCAGATTCTCAATGGGGTAATTCAGCCCACATGAAGCTCTGTGCTGGCTTCCAGTACCTGAATTAGGCTGTTCAAAGACAACTCAGATATCTCAGCCATTGCCATACTTAGTGTAGATATAACACGTAAGTGTAGAAGTGAATATGCAGACAGAAACTGTGTTCAAAACACTGTTAATTCTTTTGGCTAGTATGGAGTTCATTCAGAAATGTGTTACTAGGGTATTAACTCAGAAAAAAATTTCCAAGAAATGGATGAACTGGTTTCTTACTCAGACCAACAGATTTTTTTGCCTGTATGTAGTCTGGCTAGAGTGAATATTTCTGTATTTGTCACTGAAGTGTTATTGAATGAAATATGTATTTTCAAAAGACTTGTTCAATGGAAAATGCAATTAATGTTAGTAAGCAAAATAATAAACATATATACTTCTTGCTGAGTACCTCTTTTCTCCTAAGTCTTGCATTTGCTTCTGAAGTGCAGTCCAGTTTCAACATAAGAGCTGGAGACAAGCTCCATCCCAGTTTTACTCTAAAGTCTCACAGGCATTCTCCTAGAAGGAACAGGTTCAAAGTTTTCCTCAATCCAAAAAAATTAATTGAGCACACCACTTCTTAAGCAAGTACTCCAGCCAGTATGCAATCATACAAAAAGTTCCTCTTGTTCAGACATCTGCTTGGAGAAGACCCCGTGCTGTGAATCCTACCTGGACTGAAGCATTTGGAATTAAATCCTCAGTCAGACCAGTCTTCTACCTTGTCATTTCTCTAGGCTAGGATTTTGCAGCTCTTTCTCTTTTCCTCTTTCTTTTTTTCCTCCTCAGCCCTGCCTCACTCCCTCATAGATGGATGTTGGATTGTAAGACAAGAAGTGGTGGATCCTCCAGTAAGAAATTTTGCATCTTGCTGTGAGAGCTCTGATCAACTGTGCAGATAAAACTGTTGCCAAGAACATCTATAAGGGAATTAAGGGGCACCTGAATAGACTATACAACGTGGTTAGGTTTTCCGCCAAGGAGGACAAGCCTGAGCTGTGGAAAAGGGTGTAACTAATGGTGGTAACTCAACAGCAGAAAAAGACCAGGGTGACCTCAAAGACAGTGTTGCGTGAACGTAGTTCATCTCCTTTACAAACGGACCCTGTATGAAAAAAAAAACAGACCACGCTATACATAAACTGTGGTAAGCTCTCACTCAATTCACCATATGGAGACACTGAGTCACACAGCAGAAGTTCTAATTGCTCTGTACAGTCAGTGAACAGGCAAGTCCATCTCCTGGGCCATCTGCACTCGTTAAATATATCCATTAAGAGTATGCTGCGGTGAATTTTCTGCTTAATCAATGAATAAATTCAATGTCTACAGAAGGTGAGCTAAATATGAGTCAAAAATTAATGCAAGGAACAACAAGATACCTTCGGGAAGTACCTCTAGGTACTCCAAGTATCAGCTTGTACCTCTAATCACTTAAGCAACATTATCATGCCTGATCTCTCTTCCATCTCTTTTGACCTACAGAAAACTGTATGCACTTCTAGGCAATGGGGCACTTTCTAAGTTGTATTTTTACATTCAAGCACATGTATTTTTCAGTATCAGTTAATATAAAGTAATCTGATGCCTAGTGCTTAACTATCAAAATAGACTGTATTTAAAAGCAAATGAAGACAAAGTTAAGTAGCTATGACTAATTTCTCAAGAGAGTACTAAAGTTCACCAAGTTGCTCAAAAAAATATAGCGTATTATAAAGAATCCACAGTAATGGTGCATCTTCCCAGTTCAACTGATGAAAGCTGCCTACAAAGGTATATGTATACAAGGCAGTACTATGCTATAGAAAAATAAAAGAATTATAATATAGGCTGCTGATTCTGAACTGAAGCATAAATCATTTGTTCAATATCTTAGTAATTGTTGTTCAAATACAGGATATAAATATCTGAGTTCTCTACAGTTTTCCTAAATGGAAAGCCTCTAGTTTATGAGTTATTTTATCGCATATCTTTCCTCTTTGATATTGTATAAATCCTTCCTGCAATTCTTGCATTGACAGATTTTTTACCAATCCCCACCCCAACACAAACAATTAATAACTTTTTTAATTGTTAGATCCCACTTTTTTTCTGGATAAGAAAGCTGAGGAAATGGAAGCTGAGGGGTGGGCAAGAAAGGAGATAATTTATAATGTCTGCATGGAAATTAATGGGGGAAAAAAGAATTCTTGTGTCATTGCCAAGGTGCAAATTCTTTAGCTCTGCAAAGATGAATAGTCTCTCTTCTCATTTGATCTTTCATTTGATCGCTTGTGGTGTGACTAGCCAAGCTAGGGAACAAGTCTGTACTTCTTTGGAACCTGTACAGTTTTAGACTCAGACAAAATTCAGCTAGAAGGAGCAACACTGGGTACAGTTAAAAGAAACTGAAAAGCAGCATTTAAAAAGGAAATGCTTAGCCACCATGTAAATTAGTCATTCACATGGTCACCATGTACCATGCCAAATACTATTATTTTAGTACTTGTGGTCAGAAGGTCCTCCAGCTGTTCCATGCAACACTCTAGCCCATGGAGCTCCAGCCAGTCAAATGATGCTGACTTATTTTCTTTCACATTTCCAGACCTATGGAGGTTCAAAGCCAAGAGTTTCAACAT